TTCCTGCAAGGCCAGGCTGATTACCCCTCTTTCAGGGAAAATGGAACTTGGGTCAGGACGTTCAGATATTCCTTAAGTGGCCCTTCTGAGGCCAAAGCCTATGCAATTTCTGCTCTACAGGCCACCTCTCCGTCCTTGGAAACAGAGCAGGACTGTCACCTGAGAAGTTAATGCACACTGAAGAGAACACACCTTTAAGCAGAAGAAATAAACATGTTTACACACAAGCCTTTTTAAAGTGTACTCATAACTGCAGCAACTGCTAAACCGAAAACGTGCATTTTTGTATTCTGTCAGTTCCAAATTTACTGAGACTTACATCATCATACGGGAAATTCACAACACCTTGCTGAGCAGTATCCCGTCTTCGAAAGCTGTCTGTAAAACACCACAGTAAAATTTATGAGTTGTTTTTAAGCATCTTATCTGAAATTATAATAGTTAATTATGTTGGCACTGGGTTCAAAATGCAGTAACATTTAAATTGTACAACCAGCCAGCATAAACAAAAGACCAAAGCAAAGAAACCAACTGCACCAATATGAATAGATTTAATATGCAACCAAGTAACACAACATGCAGAAGTTAGCCAACTGTCTTTCTCAACATGGAGCTGGAAGAAAACACCTCATCCCAAAGTCAGTAAAAGCTGCACTGACTTCTGAGACCATTCCTTAATTGTGATGGAAGCACAGAATTTCCGACTTCTTAATAACACAGATATTGCTTAATTAAGAAATAGATGGATGGAGTCCTTAATATGACAAACAGCTGTGATCAGATATTCCACCCATTTGAGCTCTGTCCTATTAAATGAAAAGGATTTACTTTAGTAAGAAAATCCACCCTCAAATTTGTGTCAGGATGCAAAAAAATCATAAAACCAGATATTAAAAAGGGTAAAAAGCTAAAGAGAGGAACGAAACCAGAAAAAAATATACAAAAGAAAGTAAAAGAATAGAGGGGAGAGAAAAGTAGAGATTATTGATACAGCTACATTTAAGAAGGACATCTGAAACAGAGACCACCATTTTAAATCTTTCCAACAGGAAGAAATAGGAAAGAGCTACCAATGGGTAATTTCACTTTTTTCAAGTATTTCATATTCTGGGGAGAAATCACAGAATATTGCTCCTACTCTGGTCAAAAACATTATCAGTTAGCTTGTTATGTTTTGAAACATTTTAGTAAAGTTTAGTTAGGATTTTTTTTGGCCACGCCGTTGGCTTGGGGGATCTTACTTCCCCGACCAAGGGTCGAACCTGGGCCCTCAGCAGTGAGAGCATGGAGTCCTCACCACTGGACCACCAGGGAATTTAGTTAGGATTATTTTAACGGCAGATTACTTAGTAATGTGAAAAAAATTTCTGAGAAAACAGTTATCCTGCCAGACATGCTTAATAGTGATCTCAAAGGACACACCTGTTAGAGCTCGCAGCTTGACGCAGCAGGCGATGTAATCATCAAAGGTGATCTTTCCATTGGTGCTATATCGTTTTGCAATTGAATTCACAGCCTGGGGACTCAACCTAAATCCTGAAAGGAAGAAAAATCATCCAGCAAAAAAAAAAAAAAAAATCAAGGATTACAAAAAGACCCTTAAAAATAATCAAGCCCCCCCACATTTTTAGGACTGAGAGGGGCTCACTGAAATGATGAATATGCACTACTACAAATAGAAACCACCTTCATGTAGCACTTAGTGTTAGAAATTAAAAAAAAAAAAAGACTTCTACCAATGAACAGAGAGGTGGAGTCAGTCATACCCACCCATTGTTGTCAGGGCCTTCTGCAATTCCTGGGGATCCACTGTTCCACTCCTGTCGCTGTCAAAACTGATAAAGTGTTGTCTCCAGCCGTTTAGTACAGCCCAGAGTTCTTTAAACTCGCTGAAACCCATTGTGCCTGACATATCTCTCTGAACTGTAATCAAGGATTAGCGCAACTTTATTTTGCAACATTTTGTAATCATTAAATCAAAGATCAAGGATAAGGGAATTTAATATTCTTTCTGCTGAAAAGGTTAAAAATGTTATACATTCTTTTGGACATGATAGGACAAGAGACTAATGATATAATAAGAAGGGCCTATGGAGAAAAAGCTCTGAGTACCTATTTCCCCTGGGGAAAAAAGATAATTGATACGATGTGATTACAAGGAAATAACGAGGCCATTGTGAGCCACCTCTAACAACCAAACTGGGCTGCACTTTCTGGGTGGCCCAGGCTATGCTGCCTGTGTTCTGTCCCGGGTCCTCTTTAGCCCTAACACTCCCCTGGTAAGCCCTCCCAGACCCACTGTTTTCACTTTTGGAAAATGAGGTGGGATGAAAGAACCATACCATCAGCACTAGCTAAACTAGTCTAAGAACTGTGATGTGAAAAATCCCATTGCTTGAAGGCCAGGTTTGAATCATGCAGGGCAATCAATGTCACGGTGAAAAAGCCTCCCTGACTGCTCCGGCTTCTATACTTGTTTGTCTTTGATGCTTCCTCAAATTCTTAAATAATGAATGTTCTACTTACTAAACTTCCTTCCTCTTGCACACCAAATACCATCTTGAAAGCTAATGATTTCAAAAAACTTTTTTGTGGTCATTTGTCACTTTGTGTGTTTACCGGGTATTAATCCTTAGATGAACTCCTTCAGGAAGGATTTTTTTTTTTTATCCAGAAAAAATACTCTAGGCCCAATCAAGGTAAAGGATACATCCAGCATTGAAACCATAAGCCGGCAAGTCTCCAGGTTAAAAGCTGTTAAATCAAGAAAAGTACATACATATTAATACAATTTCAAAAATTCACATTACATTGGATACATTCAAATTAATTAGGAATGTGATTATTTATACACTTTTATTTTTATATGCTGCTCAGTCTACATGGAACTAAATTCATGGAGCTTTGAAGTAGATTTATTTTTCCAGCTGGATAGGATTCCTTCCAGAACCCAAACTTGATTTTAACAACTTTAATAGAAATCTTTTAAAAAAGTTTTGCATCGTACTGTTAATATTTTTAGGTGTGATTTATGGTTTTGAAATTGGGGGAAAAAAGTGTCCTTATCTTTAAGAAAAGTATACACTGAAGTTATTTGTAGGTGGAATAAATGTTAAAGAAATCTGGAATTTGCTTTAAAAGAACATGGGCAGGGCTTCCCTGGTGGCGCAGTGCTTGGGAGTCCGCCTGCCGATGCAGGAGGCGCGGGTTCGTGCCCCGTTTCGGGAGGATCCCGCGTGCCGCGGAGCGGCTGGGCCCGTGAGCCGTGGCCGCTGGGCCTGCGCGTCCGGAGCCTGTGCTCCGCAAATGGGAGAGGCCACGACAGTGAGAGGCCCGCATAACGCAA